TCGCGTTCGCTCGGCGATTTTCCCGAAACGACGGAAAGCGCGCCGACGATTCTGGGAAATTCGCCAGTGCGCTCTAGCGCAGTTGATGTTTACGAGAGAGACGATTCTCCTTCTCTCTTTCTCTCTCTATCTCTTTCCCGTTCTCTCGCCTCTTCACACTCTCGTGGAAAGGGGACGAAAATGAAATTCGATCTGCCATTGTTGTGTCATACGAGCATAATCTTGCTTACTCGCTGTTGCCTTCCATGATGTATGATGCATTCAGTTTATTGTCTGACTCAGTCGTTATTAATAACGGTGATCAATTATTTCGTTCAAGTATTGCGGCATTTTCAATAATAAACAACCCTCAATATAAACAGATCTCGCCGTGCAAAATAACAAATGTATTTATTCGGGCTTGTTACGCGCTTGATATATGGATTTCTACAATTATTTGTACAATCAATTTTCTACTTCACACAATAGATAAATCGAAGCGCTCATAGTTGTAAATTTTTAGAGCTTTTGTCGAAAAATATTGTATACATATATGTATTTAATATCTTTGTTAAAGCGCGTAATTCTTAATTTAAAAATAATATCCAAAAATAAGATTGTTCTGGGATGTATAACTGTTTTTAAAAATCTACGTTTTACGATACGCGATAGTTAGAATTTTCATAATCTGCTCGGCAAAAATTTTATTCAGAAAATGGCGTCGACAGTAGTCCTGTGAATTGGTCAAGTTGCGGGATGGATTTTCTCCGCAAGAGAGGGAGGACACGCTGTGTCGGCTAAAAGCATTTTTGCGTCGGCCATCATGGTGCTATCATCCACCATCGATCCGCTTTATTCATAACTTTCGCCCGCCGCTGCTGTAGTCGAGGACACTTTCTGTTTTATCTATAGGAAGGCTTTCATCAGCACATTTTCACAATCTTGTATCATTGATATATTCGTCCAAATTTATATAAATGTGCTCTCGGAATAAAATCACTGTATTATCTTCACTTCACATCTTTGCTTTGTATTGAGTAAAAACAATATTTGTATTGCTATGCAATATAAAAATATTATTTAGATATTGTATTACACGATGCACGTTTAATAATCTTTTATCGAAAGCGCTCGATTCGAAGAGATGAAAAATGTAACAGGAAATTTTTTAATTTCACAAACAATGCTCCGTCACGAAAATTTCGTCGACAAGTGATCGGAAAAATAGATGCCCATGTGCATTTCCGTTAGATCGCAATCAATGGAACATTCCTTTTGCTTTGATGATCGCTCGGAGTTTTAACAACGATGCGGCGTGTTGCCGATTATGAGGGACTATTCAGCGAGGCACGAGGATCTGTCGCGTTGTCTGGCAGCTTCTCTTTATGTGGAACATTTTGGTAAATTCTAAACGAAAAGCTTTTCGTAGGCTTCGTTTTGTTGAAGGTGTGAGATTACAAAAGGAAAGAGGCGATCTCGCGTTTTGTAAAGCAAGACATTTCTGCAGGCCCCATGTCGAGTTATGAGAATCTTCTTGCCTGCATGTCTCATCCAATGACCAGAAAGAATGTATCGCGCCAGGTTGCTACTTCCTGTACTTTACGTCTTTCCTTATTGATGCGTAAAAATCTCCTTTTGACCAAATAGTTTCGCTAGATAGTTTCATCGATATACTGCTTTTGCATGTTTCCATTATTTCCAAAAATTTTTATTTGTAAAATTTGTTAATAAAATTTTCTCGATAAAATGAAAAATAACCCAATTTTATAAAACATAAAGTTTAAATCTAATAGCACTAATTTTTATGTATTCTTTAATCATTTTAAAATTTGCATTAGATAATATGCTTATCAAATGCTCGATAAGAACTTTTAGTAAAGTAACATGTTGTTACTTTGTGTCAAAAGTAGCAGATTTTCGAAATTATAAAGATTTCTATTGTGACCCGAGGCGGGCTATTAAAACGCACCGTGGTTGCGCCGGTACAATTCCCAGCATTATAATTTTTCGTCCCGCATAGAATGGCGCGGCACGATCACGAGAGATATTCACGGGTCAGATAAATCTATCCTACGAATTGTTAGCACATGTCCCGAGTAAGCCGACAAAGCAGAAACTTCCCGCTGGGTCGTTAAAGCCAGTGACGAATTTCTCTTTCTGTCCTATCCGCATCTCAATTTTCCTGACAAATGTCGAAACTTTCCAGCGCGTGTAACTGGAGCGTGTATCTTTGAATATGAATAGTTGCTAACAATTGTATTTTAGTAATATCGTTATTAATACATTTTTATCGTTCAAATTGTGTTATCATTAATCCGAACGGATTTAAATATTTAATTAGAACATTGAAATGTTTTTAATCAAATTTAACATAATAAATTACAATGTTTGACTATAGCACTTTGAATTTGATATCTAGATTGTGTAATCTACAATCGTTCTTCAATAGTAAAATGTTTTTTCCCGACATTTATCTTTTTATTAATAATTTGTCATCTTTAGCAAAAAAATCGCTCCTGCGCCAGTGAACAAGCGAGCACATCATTGTCATAGGTGAGATTTCGGGACAGATTCTAATCTGTCGTGTAACCGAGTGAGAAGATCCATTGTAATACCCGGTGCGTGCCTTCTTCCAAAAGTGCACCTTAATGGTCCCCGGTAGCAAAGTAGCCATTATGATCAGTGAGGAATCGTATCTTGATTCCTTTTCATCGTCCTGTGGCAAACTGTCCTGTTTCCTATTGGGTTATTCTAGACTATTACGAGTTTTCAACCATATTACCTGAACTAACATGTTGGGACATGATACCAAAAGTGATATATTTATATCAATTCATGTAACGTGCTTCTATATATATATATATACATATGGATTTCTTGTACTTAAATATATCAAAGTTCTGGCCAATTATTTTTATAATTTTTTTAACATATTTATTTTACATCATTTTATGATACAAACATTATGAATTTGGAAAGCTTAATTTCAAATGTTGATTTAAATCAGATGTGATAAATGTGAAATAAAATTTTACTCTAAATAATAAAACTGTAGATTTAAATTTTACTCTAAATAATAAAACTGTAGATTTAAATTATTAGATTAAAAATTATAATTTATTTTGAATTAAAAATTCGTATTTCTGTAAGTATAATCAATAACATAAAATGTAAAAAAATGTATTACAATAAAATTATTATGATTTGAAGGAATTATAATAAATATATATACTTTTTACGAAATAATCCTTTCAAAATTGTGGTTTCTTTTTGTTAGAAAACTGCAACGTAAAATATAACAATAGAAATGCATTTTGCAGACAATGGTCAGTAAAAGATAAAAGGCTTACAGAAGAAAATAGAAAAATAAAGTGTATATTGGGAAAGTATGGAAGAATTTATGAATGGAAAGGAAGAGCTAGAAAAGCGTTAAAGCAAAGTAATTTTCGGTTCATCTGACATTTTTTGAAAACTGTAGGCAGATATGGATTATCCATGGAATAATCTTAAGGATCTTATAGATCTCAATAAAGAAACATTTTTTATTTAAAACACGTTCTAGGGATTATTTACTTTATGCTTAATGCTGAGACCCGAGGATAATCCTACTTGTGGCTTATCTAAGTGCATAATTTGACAGAGTAAAATTATATTAAAGTTGACTTCCAATCGTATCAACCATATCAAATAATTTTTTTATTCAATTAAATCGATTCGGTCGGTCTGTCAAACTATGCACTCAAATGAGCCACAAGTAGGATCATCCTCCGGTCTAGTTCGGGCATTATCCACCTGCAAGATTTATTGATTTTTTGAACGTACCAAGTTGTTCACATGACCAGCAGATGGTGCGAGCTTACAGGTCAAATCCTAATGTAAACCATAATCAGACATGCATCTGATAAATTTTTTGAAAAAGGACAAATCTTAGACTCATCTCGATTTTATCAAACGAAGATGATACCGTATTAGCTCGCTTTTAAAAATATGTTTCTATGTAACATTTTATGGAAAATATGTATTTTTATTATATTTTAGTGAATAATATAGCTCAAATTTGATAAATATCAAATATTTAAAAATACTTAAATATTTTAAAGTTTTGAAATATTTTTAAACATCATATAATTGCAAAATATTATTATTTAAAATGGCAAATATAGTTGACACTACATATTGTAAATACTTTTTCATTTTTATTGTATTTTACTCATTTAATCATATTTTTATGTCGTTCACTGATAAATATTATAATAAGTCGGATGGATACAATGGCTCATGGTCCAAATATTTTCGTAAATGGCGCAGACAACGAGGTCTGCGGTGGAAGTGCAAAATGTGTTTACCGCGTGAGACGAGGGTGACGAGGAGAATATTCGTAGCTTCCGTTGGCAAATGGGGTGTCCAGGAACGACATCGACGCATCGGGGTGAGACGCTTGGCCGGCCAAGCGTCGCGGACCGTCGAGACCGCGCTAGACAATTGAAAAAATCACTTGTCCCGCCCTAAAAGTAGGGACGTCTCATGGATGCTGGCGCGGGAAGTCAGATGCAAGGGTGATGAGAGGGCGATGTCCGTGAGCGACAGTCCGTTAAACGCAATGTTCCGGATCCAAAACATTGCGGTTTCGCGGCCGGAAATATTGTATATATGTCGTTTCGCGCACGTGCACCAATTGAATTGATCTCGAAAAATTATTTTACCGCGCGACTTGAGTATCATGTACGATGAAATTGTACTGAAGTAACAGTAAAATCACTTAATTGTTTTTCATTCAACGATACACAAAAACAGTGATATTTAATTTATTAAATATCGAGCAAAATTTATTGTTTGTGTAAAATTTTTATTGTGTTATTACTCAAATTTTGCAATGTCGTGTCGAATAGTTATATGTTTAAAACTCTTTATTATATTTTATAATCGTATTATTGTAATTTGATAAATATTGTAGATTTTGTTGCTTTTATTATTGCTTTTATAATTAAAGAAAGGGATTATAAGATCATGTTTTTTTACAGGTTCGCATAGCAGGTAGTGGAGTAAGAGGTTGGTTGGACGCATCTCACGAGACGAACAATTGGCTAAAATATGTTCGAAGCACTGCTAGTCCACACGCGGTGAACATGCGTCACGTACTCATCGGCGGTCAGGTAACGCAAATTTTATAATTAAATAATGTAATTAAGAGTTAAAAATAGTAATATTTTGTTATTGACATAAGATGCAATAAGATTGCAATTATTAATTTCATTTACTAATTATGTAAAGAATAATTTTAGAAACATTGGATGAAATAACAAAATAAATAGTGATAATAACAATTGCCGGTTAATATCAATTAGTTTCTTTCTTAACTCAGCACAGTGGTGCAAAACACGTGTACAAATCGATGAATCAGTAATTAATAAGGTAATTTTGCGAAAGAATAAATTATTGGTATCGCTAATCAGAATCTGCGATCTTTAGTTTCATTCTGTGTGTTTTGTTTAACCGTGTAAAAATCTCTCGCGTCTGTTTTTATATCAAGCATTACGAATGGCATTACGAGTAATTATTTCTTATTGAATTTATTCTAATTAATAAACATATTGGCAGTTATTAAGAATTCAGAGAGAAATAAAATGTAAGCTATATAGCAAACAGTTTTATTTTAAAATGATAACAATTGCAAACTTTTCTGACGGCGATGTGTTGACAACGTAATGAAAGAGTCACTACTTTGCTTTGAACGAAATAGCCCTTTTTAGATGCTTGACAACTATTTTCTGACTCAACCTCTATTTAAAAAGCATTTACACGCAACTGACACTCGATCGACAGTTGCAGTTAACAGGAAACAATAATTACTAGCGCCAAATATAGTTTCCAATCTATTTCGCATATGTTACTGATTAAAAAGTTTATAATACCTTACAGACCTCTTCTATTGTTTTCCGCTTATTTGATCATTTATTTAAGTGACTAACTTCCTGTACGCATGAATTTTACAAAGAGCGTTTGAATAGAAAATCTTAAGTTTGCTGTGGAACAAAAATGTTTCTTTATCAATTTTCTAATATAATAAAAAACAATTTTAAAAAATTCAAAAATGCGTCCCAATAATATCAAAGACGGTGGAATTTTTCTGTGTTTGTGCTGAAAATTTAAATAAATATTTTGTTTTCCAATTAGTCAATAAAACTGCATTAAAAGGTGACTTTTTGGTCAATCACCTTTGAAAGAACTGTGCTCTCACATATGATTGGCCGTCGAATGGACGTTATAAGCGGAAACGATGGAGGTCACGGTGTCAATTTAGGGTCGAACTTACGCTTCTGTTCGTTTGGCCCCTTCTCTCTTTCTGTCTTTCTCTGTGAACCGTGGCACATGGTATCTGCGATGTTGTGTGGGCGCGCCGTAAGCTGCATGTATACAGGGTGTTTAGTTATTAAGTCACCCCATGGGGTAGTTTCACTGACTTCCTATACGCCCTTTCTGCAATCGCTGTGGGAATGGGGGGACGCGAGGCTCTCTATCAGTGCCTTGCAGAATCGCCATCGTAATGATGCCCCGCGACGACACTATAAAGATCGCTTCACGGCTTTTCCCGACGCTGCCGGACTCCATAGAATTTTCAAACAGATTATGCACCGCGTGATTCTAATGAAATGTGCGCAATTCTCCGAGATCTCCGATATTGCTCTTATAATTTTTTCTTTGTCTCTCTTGTTCATTGATATTTTGCAAACTATAATTAGCAATGGATTAAAAAGAAGACCATACACGCCGCTGCTTTTGTAATTACCGGGACAATTTCTCTGCTTTTAGCGGTACAAAAGCATTGCAGTACCTGTCAATTTTATGACAGAAGGATTTAATGAAATATTATGTAAATATTGCGATATTTCCTGTTCTCGTTTGTGTTGCGAAAATTACGTTTGGTAATACTGCGCGGATATACCGATACTTTAATGAAAAACAAATAATTTTAGCATTAGTCGTAACTTTGGAAATGTCTTGCAGAGGTAATTTTTACGGCATAATTTTTTGTACTGAAGAAAAGAAAGTTGTTTATGTTGTATTTTAGAGTACTTTTGTACATTGAACTATATCGCTGAAGGATCAAATATTGAACATTACTAAATATCTATCTCCGTGGTCACAGATGGTGTACGAAGCTGTTCGCGACATCGCAACGGGCGAAGAGCTTCTTTTGGGTCTACGGGAGCCGCTTCAGCTGCAGGACATGCTGGGTGAAAACACGACCGAGGACAGAAGCGATCGAGAGACTGGTGAGTGTTTTTAATCAGACAAAGACTTGTCGAAAACAATACCCTATCTATCTCTTTATGAGTTTTTTGTACGAATAAGGCGCGTATGTCGACACATTCTTATCCATCCATCTGCCTGTACAATATTTCGACAAAATATTTTAATATTTATAAACGTAAGTATATCATAAAAATAGATTAAAAGATAGCAAAATTAAATAAATATCTAAAACAAGAAAAAAATGAACAAAAAGTACGCATTAAAGAATAATATCTAAAAAGCGGGCAGAGAGAAAATACAGAATAAAATAACATTTAGATGGCGAGCGAGATATCGGCGCTCACGATTATTTCGGCACGACTTTACGACTTTCTGTACAGATACACATCGCACACGCTGGCGGCTCGTGCGCGTACAATTACGCGTATGAACGCAAATGAAGGGCAAGGGCAGGTGTTTTCCGAAACGACGAATCGGGGGCGGGCAGAGGGCAAATCGTGGATCGTTGTGTGCACGAGCTGCTCGTCATGCACCCTTGACTCTGGCGTGATTCACCTGGTCGGCCGTTGCGTATTAACCCTCGTCCGGTAATAAGCGCTGATTATCTGCAGATAGACGTGTTCAAGTCACATGTCACCATGCCCCGTGCCGCTTCGACTTTTGTCCGGAACCATCCTTCTCGTCCATCGAATAAAAACGCATAAAATATTACGCAATCCAGCTATGATGGTCACGGTTTTCGTTTCGTCTTTTTAACGTTACAATTTATTATCTGTATTTATTATGTGTATAGAAAACGCTTAAGCAATTTTAAGTGATTTTTTATATCCGTGTAAAAATGTTGCCAATACATTAATTATATTTTGTTACAAATATTTCACTTTTCAACATTTATCGTAAAGAATTGTTATTTTTTTATGTTTTAAGCATTGCAAAATTACTGGCTTTGAACGTTTAAAACGTTTACTTCACTCTGCCCGCTCTTAATTTAGTTAATCGATCGTTGGATTTCATTATGTGGACCATTGCGCTGTTAATATATTCGGGGCGTTTACGAAGAAGGGTAGCGTCTACGTGCCTGACTGCTCGACAATTATCTGGTTGTAACTTCTGCGCGATGGTCAGAATCTGGATGATGACTTGGTAGAACCGAATTAAGACCGGAGGGCTATGCGCGACACCCAGATGTCGCGGTAATTAAAACCGAGCTTATTGTCGAAGTTCTGCCGTCGCGCAGAGCCTACGGCTAATTTGCCGACAGTTTTTCGTCATAACTTTAGAACCTCGTAAATGTGTCCTAGCGCGTTAGAGATGCGGAATATGATTACTAATATATTCATAATTAATTTTTTATTGATCAAGTCAACAAGGATAAATTTTTGGTAGTAACGAAATTTTCGCAATATGTATAGTTGCTCTCAAATATTCCAAAAAATCGTAAACTGTTATTTTGTCTTAAAAAAGAGACTAAAGTCGCAATTTTATGAGATGACTTTAGTAGCACTAATGAAGTCGAGAGCCTACCAATAACGTTAATTTCCTTGAATTAATTTTGATATTAAAAATCTCATTTGTGAGACAATAGACAGATGACGGTGCGCGTTAAATTGCAGAAGTTGCATCGGCTTTTATTTCTCCCTCTTTCATTATTAGTAATATAAATCTTACAAGTTTGATATTAGCAAATAATGAACAATAGCAATAAAATTTAAAATATATTATGAATTTACGATTGTATAAGCAATTCTCAAAATAAATCTTTGCAATTATTTGATTAATTTTTACATATGAAAGAAAAATATTATGCTATTAATAAAATTATTTATAATATGTTTGATGATTGCTGCCATATGTTGTATTATCAATTTTCTATCAGCACCAATTTAGTAAACTTTTATTCTTTTGGTAGGCGCATACTTTCACGCATTAAAAGAGATTAATACTGACAGTAAACGGCACAAGAATGGTACTGGCGTTATCGTTAATCCAGTAAAGCCTTTTTTACGAAGGAATCTCCGACAAGCTGGTGCGTGCAGCGAGAATAATGATGTCAAACAAACGATGTACGTTTTGCTCCAACCCTTGCGAGGGGCATCTGTGCCGCATCTCTCCCTCGGATCATTTTTTTTCGCGGAGAGAGACAGAGAGCGAGAGAAGGCGAGAGAAAAAGACATGAGGAATGATTTTAACACGCCTACGTGGGGTGCGCGTAAGCGTTGAACTGGAGCTGAATGTTAACTCAATCTCATGTACCAGACACACACATATATCGATATATCGAATATTCATATTAGTAAATTTATTCCGTTGACACGTGCGTTCAGTTTATCATCTTTAATGAATACTTTTTATAAGATTTTTATATTTTTTAAATGTTGTGCACTTGAAAAAATTAAAGCGATTTTAGCGATTAAAAGTATTTTGTTAATGAAAATAAAAATTATTGTTAAAATATATTTTCTTAATATATTGTATCTGTCAAAGTAAGAAAAAACAAAATTTAACAAGTGATTAATGCTATAGTTGCACTAATGTGTGAATAAATGCACATCTAAACCAACTATTATTTTAATGTTAAATCAGTCAGGAAAGATACACGTCAAGGCATAATTATTTTCGTTAACTAGAACATTATGATTTTTCCCAGACTTTTGGGCTCTACATCACGAATCGAGTTCCAATAAATTTGCAGATGCTATTGTTGCGGGCAATTACGATGAATTATGACAATAATTTTTTGCGGTAGTTGTTTTTCTTGCCATTTTCCCTTTTTTTTTTGTGTTGAAGAAACGTGCCTGTACCATTTCCTACGTGTTTTCGAATAGCTCTATTAGGGTAGTAGATAATTTATAGCCAACTATTGTCGATTAACACGCGCATAACCAGGTCTCAGAGACGATAAAAAAAAGGGCACGGGTCAGAATAGGAGAAAAGGGGTATCCGCGTACAAAAGGGCACGCGACACTCTTTTCTGAGGGGGTGGCGTACTCCGAGATAGGGAGGTACGTGTGACATGTTACAACCCCATCTGATTCATCGGACTAATGACACATTTATTTGACGTTTCGTATAAAATCGCTACGGTTACGTGTGACAAATTTTTACAAAAAGATGCAAACGGATATCGATTTTCCATTTATTATATAACAAAAATGTAATTTTTCTCTGGGAAAACTAAATCATTAGTGCACAAAAGTTGTATGTATTATAAAAAAATTTTATTTTTTAGTAGAAAAATGCTTTTGTGCAATTGTATTTTGTTCGAATCTTTGTTTCACAAAAATTATGAATAAATGTGTTTTTAAAATATTAAAAATATTAAATTTTCCTTGAACGTACAAAAAAATTAGTTTATATTATGTTTGCAATAACGAAAAAATTTAATTTAACTATTATTAGTTGAAAATTATCTTGAAAAAATAAAGTAATCTGGATAAAAATATAGCGAATAATGAAGAAACGAATAGATTAATGTGTATTGCGATATCATTCTCGATCTAATTTAACGATTTTGTTTTTCGAATTGTGGACGTCACGATGCACGGCAAGAACATTGATTTCCGTTACTTTTTCCCATGCAACTGCCAACTGACTACTCGACTGCGGGGGGGTGTTACCAGTGGATCCCACCTGTTGACTTTCCGCAACGTGACTTTGTTTTACTCCTTCTACATGATGTATTAACATAATTTCAACCGTTTTCATTAATCTTGGAGAAACGATCGCTTGAGAACGTACCGTATTCGTAAATTATAATTTTCATCATAGTACGCGAAAAATTTTTTTGTGAAAATACCAGAAAAGAGCTGAATATATCATTACTTTTTACGTTTATCTATTTTCTCATTTTTCCTTCATAGTTAAAATTGGTAGCTAAAATTTTTTATTTATCCTTATAACTTGCGTTTATATTTAAAATATTATATCTTTTATTAGTTAATAATGTTAGTATTCGTTAACTATTTAGAAAATCGTCTGAAATCGTTTTTTGAATACTGCATTCGGATGGTGTCGTTACGAGGGTGAGTTCAAAGTCGACCGCATCCTTCATTGTCTAAATTCACGGCGTGCCGCTACGAATTAGTCGTGGAGAGAGAAACGATTAACGTACTAAGGGGGGTTAGCATAACGTTGGGCGTAGTTGGTGGTATGGGGGTTGTGCCCGGTTCCCATGAAGGTCCGTTGGGGGCCATCACTCGACCATATGGTCGGAACAAGTGTAGCGGCAGATTTAAATAACCGTTGGAGGTCGGATATCGTTTGCAAACGCAAGCTGGATTGCACTTATATTCCGGTTAAACATTAAATTGATTTTTCAAATAATTTTTATTTATAACTCACGTTTTTAAATTATCTTTTTGCTTATTAAATATCCGTTTCTCTATTTGTTTCCACGTTTTCGCGAAATATTTTGTATAAGAAGAACATAAGGTGCTGATGTATCTCAAATAAATATATTTCAACAAAAAATTGATTAACTTTTTACGAAGCATATTACGAAGCTAACGCTGGTGATAGTTGCATATTCAATCGTTAATAATTGCACCTTGTCTTCTTCATGGTATTTCTGATTTTACCTGTCGTTGCGCTCCGATATTCGGGGGTGAAACGCCGCAGGGGGGCTGTCGAGACTCACCTGCGATTGGCTGCTCCCCAACGTCGCTTGTACCAATAGCAAGCGATTCTGAGCACCCTGCTTGCGTTTGCAGTTACCGGACGGTGTACCGTCAACAAACTAGAACATTATTGTGCCTATTGTCTTCGTGATCGCATGTGTGTCGGATCGCATTGGTCGAGAAGAAAAAGACGTCAGTGATAGTGACATAACCTGAATCGCGTCGTTACTCGTTTCGCTGACTCGTCTAACTCTATTGCAAATTCTAGACGTGAATCAATATTTGCTAGACGGATTATTAAGCCGGTAAATATTTTATAAAAGAACGGCGCATCGTTATTTAATAAATTAATTAATTTACGTATTTCACTGGAACAATTGTTACAAATTTTCATATATCTCTGCGCAAATTAATTTATAATTAGGGAACATTCTAGGATCACCCAAATTTCGGGAATGGATATAATTTATATTGAGATCATGCTTAAATTATTATCGTGTTTAAATAATTAATGAAAATGTCTGGTTCAATATTAGCACAAATTTGAATGCACGAATAATTTAACAATGCAATTGAAAGCACATAATTACATAAATGTTGTAACTCTAGTCGAGCAATAGGAACTAATGTGAGCGTTACAAGTTCGTCGAAAGTTATTTTAATTATTTCTACGAAGAATAAGTTAAATCATCGTCGAATCTCAATGAAATACCGAAGTCTTCGTTTTGTAGATTAAACGATATATTGCCACTTTAATTTAATAATTCAGGAATAATATCCACGAGTCCACTTGTCACGCCACTCTTGTGGCTCTCGCGCGGTTCTGGATCACGTAATTCGCCCACATAGCGACGGGTCACGTATCATCGCTTGCAGAGGGTTGTAATTTATAGAGTTATGGTCATTCATACACATACAAACTGCAAATGGAATTGCGATTTTTGCTTGCGCTATCGTCAGTAAGTCGAGAACACTTGTGATCTGTGTTGTATTCATCATTTACAGCCTCACAACACAGCGGAACGATTGACGAAGACAAAGAAGACGAGGAGGAAGGAGAAACAAGATGCACTGTCTGCGACAAGCCGTTCCAAGATATTGAATTGTAAGTATTTATCGCGTTAACGTTATTTTATTTATTTAATACACTAAAAAATTGCGGAAAGAATTATATATTTTCATTTCTGAAAAGAAAATGTGTTTCAAAATATTATATAAATGTAGAGAAGATAAAATTTTTTTCGTAAAATAGTTTATGGAAAATTGAGAAGTAAATAAAACGAACTAGTTCGAGTTGTTAACGCAATTGTGTGCGAGAAATATCTAATGTTATTTATTAAAAAATTATGCAAGATATAAATCATAAATAAAATACTTCAATTTCAATCTTTTTGAACTGTAATAAATTTATTTCTTAATTTTAACGAAAATATAACGCGTATAATCAATTTTTTTCAAAATCGGAATTCAGTGAAGTAGATGTGAATAAATAAAATAAGAGTGAATAAAATAAATTATATTAAAATTCGAAGCAAAAAACATAATTGCATTGAGTTTCAAATTAACTTATTTTATTTACTTCTTAGATCTTCGTAGAACAATCAGTTTCTCTATTTTAAAGGGAAATTGCGCGTTTTAGTAATATTTATACAGTTTTCTTCTCTCAGTATAATCGTGCATATTCTGTAAAAAATTCTATTGCCACTATTGAAGAATAATCGTCGTCGTTCGCACGACGATACTAAACACGACTCATGAAGGATTCATAGCACATCATTGTACACCTTTGAAATCAGATTGGCGACGATTACATGCTCGGCAAAGCGGTACGTCGTACCGGTGTGCAGGATAGAAATCGAGAGACAATGGCTTTTATAATCGATCGACATTAAAACGTTCGCCGCGTCGATTTTCATCGTTAATTATTAATTAATCAATGGAATTCAGGGGTGAGTGCCACGTAATCGCCTTCAAATCTCGTTAGCGATACGGGTTTGCGAAAGCTTTTTGTCACGCGAGCGGTATCAAGAGTTGAAGTTCTGAGCATTTCTTTAAGTCTTCTTCTTCATCGCGATTGAATATGCCGCTTAATCAGTTTTATCTTGCCGCGATATTATTACCTTTAATTAGGGAGTAATTAACATGAAGTAGCGAGCAAAAAATTAAAATTAAAATATGCTGGCTTGTAAATTATTTAAGAATGTTCAAGTTTTTTTTATTTACGATATGTAAAAAATTTTTGCTCATAGATTCTAAATAAGCTAATTGTAAATTTCATTACATTTTATGTACTAATAAGAGTACAATCTATGTTCCCAAAAAATTCAATTTTTATTTACCCATAGCTTTTCAATACAAGTCAAATACTGGTTCCTCGTATCTGGTTTTCGAAGCACTTAAACACGCGTTTTTCCCACGAGCAGCATTCTAACTACAGTCTTATTAATATAATCATATTCAATTTTAAGAGTGTGTGAATTGAAAACAGATAATACCGTATCCTTCTCAATAGTTTTTTTGAATGAATACATAATACATTTTTATCATTTGTAATCTATTATTTTCGACTTTATCTAGAACAAACAATCGTAATTTAATATTTGCTACTTTTTTCAATAAAAATAGTCTATATTATTTCAATATAATCGAAGTAATGGATAAATCCATTCTTTATTAAAATTTTATTCTCGTTTCTGGCGCAAAACACTTTCGTTTCCCGAACCGACATTAAGCCGGCAGATTCACCTGTTGTCGGGCGTTAAACCCTAACCAGGATCCGCAATCGGACGCGCTAAAACCACCCCCGTATACATCATCGAAGGCGTCGCGTGCTCGCGGCTCATCTGGCGCGGCACACCGTCACCATGAAGGCACTATCTCATCACGAATGGGTTTCACACGACGCGTGTGTTCAGGGGTGTAAAATCAATGCTGCCGCACACCACAGCATTCCGTGTGACGATAACCCATGCCTACCCCGTGACAATCCCCTTAGGACGGCTTTTCTTCGTGACGGCGTGTGTTCGTGCACGATGGCCGCCCTCTTCTTCTGGGGCGTGCGACTGTTATTACACAAGACTCGCCACCGTGCAGCCGTAGTCACTTAGTCATCATCCGAGACTGCGCCCGGTGCAGTCTTTGCCGGTGCAGGTCGAGTTACCATATCATATCCTGCCTGCACGGTGGTGCTTTGATTGAACAGATTAAGCTTCGTGCGTATATAGAATAATAGGGAGCGAGGTCTGCGAGTATTCTTTTCTGGCAAAATATTGCACAATAATTTTAAAGAAACGAACGAAGATATTATCATGCGCTTTCTTCTCCGAAATATACAGAGTATTTCTAATTTCCAGCCGACGCGCATTTCTTTGACTCGTTATTATGTATTTTAATTTTTTTTTTTTATCTAGTTAATGTTATTCTTTATATTCAAGGGGATGTTTGCATAATTTATTTCCAGATTGGATAGTCACCTGGTGACTTGTCACAGATATCCAGCAGAGCAGCACCGCTGCGACAGCTGTCCCCGTGCCTATGCTTGGCGACCGCTTCTGGTACGACATCGCGCTATTGTTCACGGTGATCTTCGGAACTATCCCTGCGAAAATTGTCCGAAGGTAAGTTTTAAGGTTCGCGCTACGACCACGGAAACCAGACAATTCTTCTGATCTAGAAGCATCTTCAAAATGTCGCTAAAAGTCGAACATCCGGCAGGTCTTTACCGATCCGTCGAACTTGCAACGGCACATCAGAACGCATCACGTCGGCGCCAGGAGCCACGCTTGCACGGAGTGCGGCAAAACATTCGCGACCAGTTCCGGCCTGAAACAGCACACCCACATCCACAGCAGCGTAAAGCCCTTTCAGTGCGAGGTCTGTTTCAAGGCGTACACGCAGTTCTCCAATTTATGCCGGCACAAGCGCATGCACGCCGACTGTCGCATGCAGATCAAGTGCGTTAAATGCGGACAGTCCTTCAGCACGGTGACATCGTTGTCGAAGCATAAGCGGTTTTGCGACTCCACGACTCCAACCGGTCCGCCCGGAACCATGCCTCAATTACCAACGCCAGCGGCGAGCCCCTTCCTGGTGTATTCACGGCCGCCCGTGAGCTTGCCAGGCGGTTTGCCTTTCTACCCGCCTAGTCTGATAAATCCTTACACGGGAATTTTTCCGAACCCTCCGAACTTTCTGAACACGCCACTGCTTTTCCCGCCGAAGATCGAGGAGGCCGAGAAGAGAAGCGACAGCCCGAAGAAAGAACGTTTCACTCCTCCGAGAGTGCTGTCGCATCACAACAAGGTCTCTCCTTCCACGGCGGAAGAAGCCACCTCTACCTTTCGGCCGTCTCCGGCCAGACCACCGGTCCAGCCGACTCCGGAGAGCGACGACGATCTTTCGAAGAGAAGAGAGGCGGCCAGGAGCAACGAGCGAAGAATGGAAACCGAGAGTGCTTCGAACATCCCGAAGGAGGAAACGACCGAGCAACCGCTGGATTTAAGGATACAGACCAAGAAGCGGGATGTCACTTCGAAATCCGCGAGCAGGAAAAGCCGCACTCCGTCGCCCGCGCCGGTACCGATGGAGGAAACACCCGCGCCGCCCGATCCGCCGAAACCGGAAGAGGACGCCGCTCCGCCGCCGATGGAGCTCGAGTCCAAGGACATTCCCAGCCCGCAACTGAGAACCAGCCTGCCGACCGAGCAACCGCCGACCAATACACCGCCGCACATGGCTTATCCCCGACCGATACATCCGATGTTCCTCGAGACGATGTACCGCAATCCCGGGGTGAGCGCTTTCCCAGGCTTTCCCGGCGCCCCGCCGCCTCCCAGCGGAGCCACGCCGGAATCCAGGCTGATACCTCCGCTCCCGCCCTTCGGCCCACCGCGCGGGCTTCCTTTTTTAGGCTCGCTTATGAACGGGCTCAGCGGCGCTAGGCCAGGAGGAGGTTTCGATCTGCTCGCCCGGCCGCCGCTCAGTGCGTTCCCCGGTGTGAAGCCGTTCCAGGAAGCCGTCTTGCCACCCCACCATCACCACCACCATCATCATCATCATCATGTTCACGGCAAAATGAAGGACCGATACTCCTGTAAGTTCTGCGGCAAAGTGTTCCCGCGCTCGGCCAATCTGACGAGGCACCTGAGGACGCACACCGGCGAGCAGCCGTACAAGTGCAAGTACTGCGAGCGGTCCTTCAGCATCTCGAGTAATCTGCAGAGACACGTGAGAAACATCCACGACAAACAGCGGCCGTTCAAGTGTCCGCTTTGCGAAAGGTGCTTCGGCCAGCAGACCAATCTGGATCGACACCTGAAGAAGCACGAGGCCGATGACGGCAGCGGAGTGGTCTCAGTCGCCGATTCGCCCGGAAGTAGCAACGAGAACGAGCGGGAGGACACGTACTTCGACGAAATCAGGTCCTTCATGGGCAAGGTCACTTACAGCGGCGAGAGCGGCTACGGAATACCACATCACCCCGCATACATCCCGGCTCGATTGCACGAGATAAACGAGTCGAAGATGGAAGTCGAGTACGACGAGGACGAAGACAGCGAGGAAGGCGCGTCCCCTTTGGAGGAAACGGACGGACTGTCGCCGATCGAGGCGAAGGAGTCGCCGTCGCCCTCGCAGTACGATTTAAAGCTGCGGGAGAAGCAGGAGCTGCTCAATAATAACACCGCGGAGCCGGTGATCGAGATCTCGACATAGCCCAGAGGTCAGTCTGGGTGATTTGCGCGAGCGCTTCGTAAGACGAGGAAAGCGCG